GTCGGACGGGGCCCACCATATGATACCCTACAAAACTTCCACTAAAATCTAACTTTCTGTTGTTCTATGTTCTGAGCTTTATTTCGCTTTGCACCATTTTGACCGACTAGAATATATATAAATATTACTGATATTCAGTACAGATCTTTTAATTACTTTTCCAGATGCCCTTTACGGTGAGTTTTGTTGTGATATTCGGCTTTCAATTGTGGCCTATAGATCGACACGAAAAAACACAAAAAAATAAGTTTTCGGTCCACTTCATTCCAATATTATTATCAGATCATCGTCGAAATTGTAGGCGTTGTTCTTGATACCTATATTTCCGACCTCTAGTGTGGTAATGGGTTACTAAATAGTATCTGATTACGTAAGTAAGTGTAAACATTTAAGTGTAACTCCCCCATCCGAATACATACGACAAAGTAATTGGTATCAATTTGAAGGCCAACCACTCCTCGTGAATGTATTGTCAACTTCTCGGGTCTAGGTCCTTCAGGGGTAAATCTATACGCTATAGAATACAAATTTTGTAATTTTTCACACAAAAGTCAGGGTCCATTTGACCCTCTAAATAATGACCGATCTTTATCAAAACAGGTATGCTTATTCTTAAGCACGATACCCTTCTCCATGTAAAATTTCACGTTCGGACCATAACTGCGGCCTCTGGAGCGACCAGAAAAATAGACAAAAACAAAGTATTTGGTCCATTTCATCCCCTAAATATTAACAGATCTTTTCCAAAAACAATAGGAGTCTTCATTGGCCAGAACCCATCCTACATGCAAAATTTCGTGAAGATTGGTCCGTAATTGCGGCCTTTATCGTGTATACAAATTATAATGGACAGACGGACACACATGTCTAGATCGACTCAGCTAGTCGAGATATGACGATCGGTATACTTAAAGTTGAGTCTAGGACCAATATTTCGCGGCGTTACAAACTTTTGGGGCTGCACAAAGCTATAATACCCTGACAACATAGTTGTGTAGGGTATAATTAAGTTTTCGGTCCACTTCATCCCAAAATTATTATCTAATCATCACCGAAAATTATAGGCATTGTCCATGGCCATAACTGGAACTTCATGGAAAATTTGACAGCGATTAGCGCTACATTTCCGTTACTAAATAATATCTGAATACATAAGCACCTGTTAATATTTAAGTAGAACTCCTTCATCCGAGTACATACGACAATATAATTGATATTAATTTAAAGGTCAACTATTCCTCTTGGATATACTATCAGCTTCTAGGGTCTATGTCCTTCAGGTAAATATATAAGCACCAGAATACAAATTTAATCATTTTCACACAAAAGTCTGGGTCCATTTGACCAGCTAAATATTGACCGATCTTTATAAAAACCGGAAATGCTTATTCTTTGGGCCGATCCCCTTCTCGCGATGTTTTGGTCATAATAAAAATAAAGTTTTTGGTCCCCTGAAAGTTAACCAATCTTTACCAAAAACAATATGGGTCTTCATTAGACAGAACCCATCCTACATGCAAGATTTCGTGAAGGTTGGTCCATAACTGTGGCCTGTACAAATAAAAAGGATAGACGGACGGACACACATGTCTAGATCGACTCAGCTATTCGAGATATGACGATCGGTATACTTAAAGGTGAGTCTAGGACCAATATTTCGCGGCGTTACAAACTTTTGGGGCTGCACAAAGCTATAATACCCTGACAACATAGTTGTGTAGGGTAGAAAAATATCCGTTTAATAATGGTTCTGTATCAAAATGTTTATTTTTTCTTATATTAAAAAAATAAAATTCCATTGCCCCGATTTTTAAATGAAATATAAAAAATATTTCCATTTTTTTTAAACTTACCCGAATGACTGGCCTCTCGAATCAGATCATTGATGATTTCATCTCGTACATTAATGCCGAGATTTTTCAGCATAAACTGGAGTTCATTTGCCGTAACACGGCCATCACGATTTCTGTCTAGTAGATCAAAAGCTGTGCGTAAATCTGCAATAAAGAAACAAAAAGAAAAAATGGTATTAGAATAGAAAACATGTCGAAACATTAATAAAAAATAACAACAACATCTCTACAACATACAACATAATAAATTTTTGTCTAACGAACGAACATGGACTGCATCTTAATAGACCGCGACGGTCGATGAGTACGTGTTTGCTGTTACTAAATAAATGAATAATAAATTTGTGGTCTTAACAAGTGTCCTTAAAATAAAGAAAACAAGAAAAAAAAACTAAATAAATATTTACTTTGGCGTATGATTAATATTTATTATAACAATAAAAATAAATGATTGTCATACGTGCCCCAAGGGACAAACAAAATTAGCACCCTACAAGAGGGATTTGTTTGAGTGGACATTTTGTTTAAATGTTAACACAAATTAATTCATTTTTGAATACAAATTTAAAGAAAAGACACAATGAGGACATTTAGTACTTGTTGGCGTATGATTATTTCAAAATTATTATTTTGTTATTATATTCATCATACGCCCCTTGGCGTTCAGCAGAATGAAATAATCCTTGAGAAATTTCATATTTATTTATTTTTTGTTTATATAATTCATATATAAAATAATATTATATTGAAATAAAAAATATTTTGCATATATTGTTGTTTTATAAGTTTGAAAAAAAAATGTCCTTGTTAATTTGTACTTTTTCACTAGAAATAAACGAATAAAACTATGTCAGTCACTTCAAATTAAATGAAATGAAAACAATGTTATATCATATTGAATTGTTCAAATCCACATGCATACAAATCTCAAATTCCAGTCCACTATGACGGATCCACCAAGCGACCAAGCCATTGTTGTCTGACGCTTTTTTTTATAGAATATTTCCAGTTCGTGGCATTTTAGTTTTATTGTTTTTTATTCTCTGCAATCCCATAATTATGTGGTAGCCCCGGCGAGTGTGTATGTATGTAGAACAGTATCTCTTTATACATATACAGGATAAACATTAACATTATTCATTATACAGGATAAACAAAAACCCAACCCCAAGCTGACAAGCGATTAATTAAATGTTTATGTTAACATTAAATATTGTATTTAGATTAACACATTGGCATGACACCGAAAAAAGGACAAAAAGGCATATAAATTTTCTATCGCCTAAAAAAGGCATTTTAAGGCCTTTAAAGGCTTCTATCGCCTAAAAAAGGCATTTTAATTTGCTATCGACCTAAAAAAGGCATTTTAAGGCCTTTAAGGGGTTCTATCGCCTAAAAGGGCGTTTTAAGGCCTTTAAAGGCTTTTATCGCATAAAATGGCCTTTAAAGGCTTCTATCGCCTAAAAAGGCGTTTTAAGGCATCTATCGCCTAAAATAGACATTTTAGTTTTCTGTGGTCAAAAAGGCAATTTAAGGCCTCTAAAGGCTTCTATCGCCTAAAAAGACATTTTAATTTTCTATCGCCCAAAAAAAGGAATTTTAAGGCCTTTAAAGGCATTTTAAGGGTAAAAAAGGCATTTAAATTTTAATCGCCTAAAAAGACATTTTAAGGCCTTTAAACGCTTCTAACGCCTAGAAAACGCATTTTAATTTTCTGTGGTCTAAAAAGGCATTTTAAGGTCTTTAAAGGCTTCTAACGCATAAAAAGGCCTTTAAAGGCTTCTATCGCTTAAAAAAGGCATTTTAATTTTGTATCGCCTAAAAAAGGCATTTTAAGGCCTTTAAATGCTTCTATCGTCTAAAAAAGGCATTTAAAGTCTTCAATCGCCTAAAAATTTTCTATCGCCTAAGAAAGCATTCTAATTTTCTATCGCCTAAAAAAGGCATTTTAAGGCCTTTAAAGGCTTCTATCGCCTAAAAAAGGCATTTTAATTTTCAAGGAATTTTAAGGCCTTTAAAGGCATTTTAAGGCTAAAAAAGGCATTTTAATTTTCTATCGCCTAAAAAGGCCTTTAAAGGCTTCTATCGCCTAAAAAGGCATTTTAATGCCTTTAAAGGCTTCTATCGCATAAAAAGGTCTTAAATAAAAGGCCTTAAATGCTTCTATCAGCTAAAAAAAAGGCATTTTAGTTTTCTATCGCCTAAAAAAGGCATTTTAAGGCCTAAAGGCTTCTATCGCCTAAAAAAGGCATTTTAATTTTCAAGGAATTTTAAGGCCTTTAAAGGCATTTTAAGGCTAAAAAAGGCATTTTAATTTTATATCGCCTAAAAAGGCCTTTAAAGGCTTCTATCGCCTAAAAAGGCATTTTAATGCCTTTAAAGGCTTCTATCGCATAAAAAGGCCTTAAATAAAAGGCCTTAAATGCTTCTATCAGCTAAAAAAGGCATTTTAGTTTTCTATCGCTTAAAAAAGACATTTTAAGGCCTTTAAAGGCTTTTATCGCACAAAATGGCCTTTAAAGGCTTCTATCGCCTAAAAAAAGGCATTTTAAGGCCTTTAAAGGCTTCTATCGCCTAAAAAAGGCATTTTAATTTTTTTCGCCTAAAAAAGCATTTTAAGGCCTTTAAAGACTTATATCGCCTAAAAAAGGCATTTTAAGGCCTTTAGTGGCTTATATTGCCTAAAAAAGGCATTTTAAATTTCTATCGCCTAAAAAAGGCATTTTACTTTTCTGTGGTCTAAAAAGGCATTTTAGAAACCCGCCTTAAATAAAAGGCCTTAAATGCTTCTATCAGCTAAAAAAGGCATTTTAGTTTTCTATCGCCTAAAGAAGGCATTTTAATTTTCTATCGCCTAAAAAGTCATTTTAAGGCCTTTGGAGGCTTCTATCGCCTAAAAAGGCATTTTAGTTTTCTGTGGTCTAAAAGGCTTCTATCGCCTAAAAAAGGAATTTTAATTTTCTATCGACTAAAAAGACATTTTAAGGCCTTTAAAGACTTCTATCGCCTAAAAAGGCATTTTAAGGCCTTTAAAGGCTTTTTATCGCTTAAAAAAGCATTTTAAATTTCTATCGCCTAAAAAAGGCATTTTAATGCCTTTTTTCAAATAAAAAATATGCCTTTGGTTACGCTTGAAATTAGAAATAATTAAAACCAGTGAACGGAGCAGTATTGTTGGACGGTGGTCGGCCCCCGTACGATACCCCACACCTCTACCACGGAGCTCTAACATTCTGCGGATGTTTATTCCGAGCCTAGACAATATTTCTTTATATTTTCACCCTCTTGTCCGATAAGAGGTCAACAGTACCTCCTCCTTACAATGACATATTTACGCATATTACTAATATTCAGTACCACCCTTCTAATTCTACCCTTCACCGTAGGCAGTGTTGTGATGTTCGACTTTTTAATTGTAATCGACTCAAAAACACATTAAAAATTTAAGTTGTCGTCCACTTCATCAAAATTATTATCTGATCATCACCGAAAATTATAGGTGTTGTCCTTGACAATAACTGAAAATTTTCCAAGTGATCAGAGCTATATTTTCGCCCTTCGGTGTGGTAATGGGTTACTAAATAATATCTGAATATAAGCACCTGTAAATATTTAAGTGTAACTCCCACATTCGAGTACATACGACCATTTAATTGGTATAAATTTAAAGGTCAACCACTCCTCTTGGATATATGATCAACTTCTCGGGTATATATCCTGCAGGGGTAAATATATTCGCTATAGAGTACAAACTTCGTCATTTTTCACACAAAAGCCAGGGTTCATTTGACCCGCTAAATATTGACCGATCTTTACCAAAACATGGATGGTTATTCTTTGGCCCGATCCTCTTCTCCATGTAAAAATTTGAGATGTCTGGGCCACAATTGCGGCCTCTGGTGCGAGCAGAAAATCAGACAAAAATAAAGTTTTTGGTCCATTTCATCCCCTAAATATTAACCGATCTTTACCAAAAATAATAGGGGTCTTCATTGGCCAGAACCCATCCTACATGTAAAATTTCGTGAAGATTTATCCATAACTGTGGCCTGTATCGTGTTTACAAATTATAATGGACAGACGGATGGACGGTCACACATGTCTAGATCGACTCAGCTAGTCGAGGTATGACCGATCGGTTACTTAAAGGTGGACCAATATTTCGCGGCATTGCATACTCTTGGGGCTGCACAAAGCTATAATACCCTGACAACATAGTTGTGTAGGGTATAAGAATGTGCGTTTATGTTTAAGCTTGGAAAAAAATTGTAAAAAACCCATTCCTTTGGCTACACATGAAGAAAAATATTTTTAAAAATTCCAAGTATATGGTTAAACTCGAAAAAAATATTTTTTATATTTTTTAATATTTTAAAAATTCACGCCTATGTTTAAGGTTGAAAAGTTGTTAAACATGAAAAAATATTTTTAAAAAAATCCAAGCCCATGGTTCATGGTTAAGCTCGAAAAAAATATTTTCTAAAGCGCAATAAAATCTTAGTCATAGCTATCCAAACAACATAAACAAGAAGAGGGAAAAATGGAGAATAAAAGAAAATTGAAACCGTTTTTACTATTTTCCACTTTCAACGCTCGCACACACACATACAAACACCCACTCCCTCGTTCATCCATTTATCCGCAGCAACAAAGTAAAGTAATTTTTGTTTCCTTTTATTGCGTCGTAGTTGGTTTCATTTTCCTTTCTTTGTTCGTTTTTCTTTATTACGTTTTTTTCTGCTTATACAGTAACTTTATCATTGGCTAAGACAGAATTACCACCCCAACTAACCGCATAGATGAAAGAAATTAAAGTTTTTTGTTTTGTAATAAAATGATTATTTTACAGGAAAAAAGAAATGAACGCAACAAAATGAAACGAATCCTTTGAAGAAATGACAACTAAGGAGGAAATTGTTTTCTTTTTATTATGAAGTTTCCTTTTTGTAGTCTAGCGACAGTTAGAAAAGGAAGGGCAACTTTGTCAGGGATTTCTCATTTTTTTCTACGATTAATGAAATGAATATTCAAAGAAATCGGTTTTTTTTAAATTCAGATTAGATTGGCATAAAACTTTTTTTTTTGAGATTGGTTTCATATTTGAATTATTATATAAAAATTTTAATGAAGATTGAACAATAGAA